AACGGTATCTCGTGTCTGATTTTATTGGTAGCAATTATTAGTCGCGTGTTTAATCAATTGATTCTTGTTAAGTTATTTGTTTTATAATAATACGTCAATATGGTCCCTTGAGGTTTTTCCTGTAGAGCTAATTTGTATTCAACTTTGGGCTTGTGAACTCGCATAATTACTAATGACGCGTGAAACGTTGAGACTTCAATAGTTTTTCATTTCCTCGAGATAGAAAGGAGAAAACAGTTCTGTAATAGTCAGACAAACTTGAAATAAAGCGTTTTCAGCTCCCCTTTGTGTATGTCTTGTTTATATATATCCGAGTTTTAGCGCTAAATAAGATATAAGAAGCTGTTTCTCGCGTTGCTAGGTGATTGCTCTTATTTTCCTTTTAATTAAGTTACTTACCGGGCAAGTCTAGGCAAGCCTATTGTTCCTATTGTAGTAGAGAAACACTCATTAATAAACCTATACCGAATTAGTATGCAGGGCGACACTTAATTAGTATGCAGGAAATCCAAATTAGTATGCGGGAAGGCAGTGAGCAGGCTTTTATGCCGTTCAAGCAATAAAAATACGGCAACCAACCAGAATGCTTCGTCAAACGAGACAGCCAATGAGCGTCTTTCTAATTCCGGTCAACCAATCAAAACAACTATGACATCATAGTACCCCGGAATACATATGACATCATCTTCCAAAAATAACTAACCTGTCAAACAGGTTATACCAACCATGACCGCCACAAGATAAAAATAGCACATGACCTTATCTTTATGAGATTCCTGCGCATTTTATTCGTGAGATCAAGACAAAAGGTTATGACATCATTGGCGTTAATTTATTCCTCCGCACCCTAATGAGAATCCTCCGCAAAAAAAAGGGGATAATTTCATCCCTCGTATACTACTGTGAGAAGAATAGAATAATTCCCGCAATTTAGTCTTTCTAAGCTCGCACATTAAGAAGTAAACATTTACCCTAGCTAGTAGACTGACCTTTTGGAATCACGGCACTGATTTTTATCGAGTAGAACTGAGCAGTACGTTCACTAGCCATTCTGCCCTTTAATTTAGGGAATATCTGACAATGTAATTGTAACCCACGGTCTTCTTTCCTAACGTTCGTCAATTCCAGTGTCGCTCCTTTAATCCTAAACCTTGATTGGCAGGTACTGTTACAGCAATTGTCGAACACGCATAACTCAGAGTTACAATATGCAATCTTCCTCTTTTCTCCATCGAGTTTGATCCAATACCACCACATATCTTGAATGCTACCAATCGATGCCGTTTCTTCTTCAAGAGCCTCGTTGAGGTTAACGTCTTGGTTGGCAAATAAAGTCAGGCCTAAAAAGGGATGAACGAAAATTATACCTTAATCAATGTACGGACACACTCATTCATTTTAACAGCCTTTGACGCTGACGTTTGGCACATTTAGCGGGGAGGTCATTGGTTCCCTTTTTTGTCTGAAATTTTGATTTTAAAATGTTTAAACAGTCACTGACAATGGCGAGTGTACTTTTTATATGATACTTTGGGAGATTGCTTAAAAAGCTACTATAGGTTGTCGCTGACCCTTCTAACGTACGTGGCGGGTGTTTGAAGGCGAAGAGATAGGGGAATGAAGACGCGCAAGCTGTATACTCTCTTTCCCTTCAAACGCCTACTAAGCAGGCTGTGACAATGCCGTGCGCCCAAAACGCAAACTAGGAAATATTTGGCATCCATCTGTAGGAGTACGTTACCTGCGTGACAGGCTTTTGAAGGGGAAGGGAAAAGGGGAATAAAGGCGCCCGAGAACGTGATGAGGGCGGATGTCCTTTTGTGCGAAAATTAGAAGAAGCTGTGCAACGCAAATAATCGAGTGAATGTCAAAGTTTTTGAAAATGCGCGTTGAAAAAAGGAGGAAAGCTATACATTTCGAGGTTGCTCCCTCTTCGTCAGTGGTTTAAGGCGAAAACGAAGAGGAGATGGCACCCTCGAAATGTCTGGTTTTCCTTCTTTTTCAACGCGTATTTTGGATAACTTTGGCAAGCATCTGTAGGAGTTCAAACTTCTTCGTACCCGAATTCGAGACAAGTATTGTAAATTACGGACCGAGTTCATTGATTGCGCTTGGGCTATAAATCTTAGCGGAAAAACGAGAGTACAGCGCGCGTACTAACTGAGAGATATAATAAAAAGAATACTGACAAAAATAAACACAAATATTGTAATCGTTCAAATTCTACTCACAATGAACGGAGGAGGAAACATTCACTTGATAAACAAGTGGGTCTTTGTTCTGTTTTCTTTGTACAGAGCATGTAAAAGTAAGAATGTCGTCCTTGATCAGCTGCTCCACGTACAATGTCCCATTTACAGGAGCATTTCTGATCGTGATACGTTTTTCAAGGCTTCCTAGGGAATTATATGTGGCACAGCTGAGATTTTCGTCGCAATAACCCAGTTTTCGCTCAGAATCAGATTTGTCACGAGGGTCGGCGACTTTCCAGATGAGTTCTCTGTAATCTCCGCTCCGGATGGCTTGCTCAAGAAGAGGACAACACAATTTGACCATTTCTTTTGGGCAAACATTCATGTCTTCAGCACGAGCACCTAAAAACAAAGAAGTCAGGAGAAAGAGAATAATTTGCAAATAAAAGATAACTCGACAGAGGTAACTGTAGTGTAATGTGGTATACAGATGTAATTCTTCGTATAATTAAAGAAAATATACCAGGAGAATACATACATACATACATACATACATGCATACATACATTTTTATTGTGTTTTGAGGTAAAAGTACAATTATAACATGCCCACGGGTAGCTAAGCTATTCTAGGGGGTCATGTTTAAAGGAAATAAATACAACCAAATACAACTAAAAGTAACAAGAGAACTAAAGAAACTAGAATTGTAGAGAACTTGCTTGGAAAGGGAAAAAATGTTTGGGTTGTACTTTAAATAGGAGCTATTTTGTCTTCTGTTAGACTTTATATTCAAACCCGTCATTTCGCTCCAATTCATTCAATTTCCGCTGGCATGCAATTGTCAATTGAAAATTAAGAATTAAGGCTACTTGTACTTCCTGTATTACCTTATATTTTTATAAGCCTTACTAACAGTCTTTGAAAGGTGACATCGTTTTCGTCTTGGTGATGTTATTTCGCGATGTGTAGCAGCACTGAAATTCTACCATTTTAGCACTTTGGAAAAATTAAAACTATTAGGCTGATAGGATGAGGGATGTCTCAGTATGTAGTATACGTAAACACAATACCACTTGGAAAGTACTTGTACCGAATTCACGCCCTCGTTGTTTCTGTCACAACTCGTGCGTAAATACCATACCCGCGCACTTCCCTGGTTGAAGAATGTTATTAATTTATTTTGAGTTTTCAACCAATCTCGGATCAAAAACTGTTTGTTTAATGTTACAACAAGTATTCTTGATACTGTACTTCCCCGCTTTGGAAGTTTTTCACACCGGATTACTTTGTATTCAGTATGGTAGAACTAGATTACTTTGTTTTGCAACGTGCCTGCAGAGTGAAGAGATGTACATGTCCTACTCTTTTTTCAAGCGTTAATCGCCAATTGGCATCTTGTTTTTTCTTTTTTAAAGACTTCCCTAAATTTAGGGTCTTTTAAAAGGGAGGTTTAGTTTTCTTTGGGCTGTGAGCGTTTAGCCTAGTTACTTCGATTTGATGCAGATGTTCGTTGATAACAGTGACTGAGTCGAAATTGTCAAAAAAAAGTCAATAGTAAATAACACCAGAAACTCAACTAATCAAACAATTGCTAAAGAGATATGATGAAATTTAATGAGAGATGTTTATCATCTGAGTTAATGGTTTTATTCTTTTCCTGTCAAATCACTGAATGCCGGATATTCAAAGAGGGGAATTTTGGATTGACCTCTCATTCTGGCGTAATATTTGTTTCAGAATGTTGGTATAACAGCTTTTTTTTTTTAATTCTTGTTTGAACTCAAAGTTTGCCGATTCTATTTATTAAGTTATAGTACGGATGGGATAAAGCGATTGTAATAAAACATTTTTACCATTATCTCTTTTATTTTCACGAAAGAAGGCAATCGCGCTGATCTCCGCAAGACAATAGTGAGTAAAAAAGATTAGACTGCATCTGTATAGTATTTAAATGTCCCGTTTCCTTTCCGTAATTGGTGTTCTCGATCACTGGTAAAGATCGCTTAGTTATCCGGCAGAACGTTTCATAATGCAGTTATTTACACTCTTTTTTTTCTATAAGAATATATTTTATAAGAATATCGAGGCTGAAATTTGCGAAATGTTAAGAATACTTTAAGAATAAACTCCAGGCTGAGATTTTGAAAAGGATATAAATTCGTGTGGTGAAAATCTGTAAATACAATACAAATTATACGTTTTCAATTTATTCCTTTCTTTAAACGGCAAAACTAGCTAACTATATTTAACAAAACTATAATTGATACCTTAATATATTCTAAAACGGAAATGTCATAAGCTATTATTAAGAATAATACAAGAATATTTACAGCCTAAAATCGGCGGAAAAATAAGAATATTCAGCCTGCCCCGGGAAAACAATATTCTTATAAAAAAAAAAGAGTGTAGTAGGGCTCTGTTTTCTACAGCAAGCAGCCGTTTTTAAGCGCGTTTTGATGCGCGATTCCCGGTATACTGGATCTTATTTACCTTGCATTGTTAACTTCTTCAAGTGATCGATGTTTTAGAAGACAAATATAGTTGAATTCCATTTGTGCCACAAAAACAAACGCCTTCTTTGTAAACACGTAGTGCAATCGGATGTACTTACCTCTTAAAGTGACGGTGAGTAGTGTAAGTGCAAACTGAAATGTCTTAGCTGTCGACATATTTTGTGGATATCGGTAAAAAAGACTTTGCTTATCGTAGGACCAACTGTGATACGTCGTACGGACCTAAAATAACTTCCGTGTATCGTCTCACCAACGGTACCGCTTATATAGCTCAGATGATCCAACAGCTACTGAATATTTACATTTGGTGCGACTCCCCTTGCTTTGGCAAGGCAGGGAAAGTCCCTGGCGTGAGAAAACAGCCGATATTTCGCCACGCAACCAGTGATGCCCCAGTCTTTCCGTCATATCATCAGAATGTATACCCGTTGTTTTCGCGAGGAAGCCATCTCTTGTTGATGTGGCAAAATATCAGCTGTTTTCTCAGTCTTTACAGTCGCCTTGAATATTTCTGCCTTGGTTGATCAATAAAAAATGCGCTTATGCAACCGGGTAGCTCGTAAACTTATTAATGCAGAAGCTGGTATTGTCATTGGGAAATTCATTCCTGGACTTTGAACGATTCTTACGGAAAAATGGATACCCCTGGGAATGTACCCCGGGGAACGTACCAACAGCAAAATGAAATGGAAAGTTCATTAAGGGCATTTACTGCAAATCAACGAAAAATATGCTGACAAATCAGTCTTGGTCTACTGACAATATCAAGGAATTCAATTAGCGACTAATTTTTTTCCGGCTACAGTACAAAGCTTTCTTTTCAGTGTTTTACGAGTCACTGATTATTCACTCTTCGTCATTTTCTCCTTTTTGCGTAAGCAATTAACGTGTTAATGGTATTTTCTGTAGTGGTCAATATTGTAATAAATCTTTTAAACGCCTTTAAAAGCCGGATCAGTATGTTCATTTACAAACAGACCGATTTAAGGTAAATAAGTTCATATATCTATAACTGATGAGTTGATATTACGCAACGCCAGATAAAGAAATTGAAGTTATAGGCATTCTCGCAGACTTATTTTGAGGGCAGTCGCCTATTCAATACTAACAGAACGATAACTTTATTACCTCTCCCGGAGGGGCTAACAATTACCTCCCGGACGGTTCACCCAAATATAAATCATATAGGTATGTGTCATCCCAAACGGTAGGGTTTTTGCGCCGTTTTTGTCCTTCAGCTTTAAGAGGATGTCCGCGTAAGAACCGATAAGGCAAATTTCGGTCTATCACAGATTGCCCTGATTTTTCCAGTGGAAGATAACTATCCTATCCCATGAAGAAATATCACATTTATTTAGACCAACTCAATTTTTTCTCTGTATTACAAGAAGATTTTCTCGGTATAATTTGCAAATAAAAGATAACTCGACAGAGGTAACTGTAGTGTAATGTGGTATACAGATGTAATTCTTCGTATAATTAAAGAAAATATACCAGGAGAATACATACATACATACATACATACATACATACATGCATACATACATTTTTATTCTGTTTTGAGGTAAAAGTACAATTATAACATGCCCACCGGTAGCTAAGCTATTCTAGGGGGTCATGTTTAAAGGAAATAAATACAACCAAATACAACTAAAAGTAACAAGAGAACTAAAGAAACTAGAATCGTAGAGAACTTGCTTGGAAAGGGAAAAATATGTTTGGGTTGCACTTTAAATAGGAGCTATTTTGTCTTCCGTTAAACTTTATATTCAAACCTGTCATTTCGCTCAAATTCATTCATTTACCGCTGGCATGCAATTGTCAATTGAAAATTAAGAATTAAGGCTAATTGTACTTCCTGTATTGCCTTACATTTTTACAAGCCTTACTAACAGTCTTTGAAAGGTGGCATCGTTTTCATCTTTCGTGATGTTATATCGCGATGTGTAGCAGCAAATTCTACCATTTTAGCACTTTGGAAAAATTATAAATATTAGGCTGATGGGCGGTTGAGGTATGTCTCAGTATGTAGTATACGTAAACACAATAATATTATAGGTGACGAATTACTCCTTAATTTTGGCGCGAAATTTCAGCGTTAATTTGTAATTTCACATGTGAAATTACAAAATTGCCATAGCAACCTTCCGTACTTCTCAGTGTCAAGATGGCGACGAAGTTTTAAAATGCAGTGAATGTAGATGTCAGGGCGCAAAAAGACGCTTTAGAAAACCGGAACACACGAAAGAGCACATCAAGAAGGATTCTAACAGGTATTCTGTCGAAAAACTCTGAACTTAAGCCAAATTTAAGCTTTAAACGTTCGAGAGAGTGCAGGAGCTCTCGATCGATACGATCCAGGATAAACATGTCAAAAATCCAAGATTGCTAACGTAATTCGTCACCCATGATATTAATAGGTAATCAAATGGTATACTCGTAAAATTAGGGAATAATTTCACTCGTCACCATTTGATTACACATACTAATACCACATGGAAAGTACTTGTACGGTATTCACGCCCTCGTTGTTTCTGTCACAACTCGAGCGTAAATACCATACCCGCGCACTTCCCTGGTTGAAGTATGTTATTAATTTATTTTGAGTCTTCAACCAATCTTGAATCAAAAACTGTTTGTTTAATGTTACAACAAATATTCTTTATGCTCCCTCGCTTTGGAAGTTCATCACACCGGATTGCTTTGTATTCAGTATGATAAAACAGGATTACTTTGTTTTGCAACGTGCTTGCAGAGTGAAGAGATGTACATGTCCTACTCTTTTCTCAAGCGTTAATCACCAATTGGCATCTTGTTTTTTTTTTTCTTTTAAAGAATTCCCTAAATTTAAGGCTTTTTAAAAGGGAGTTTTAGTTTTCTTTGGGCTGTGAGCGTCTTCGATTTGAGACAGATGTTCGTTGATAACAGTGATTGAGTCGAAATTGTTAAAAAAAGTCAATAGTAAATAACACCAGAAACTCACCTAATCAAAGAATTGCTAAAGAGATCTGATGAAATTTAATGAGAGATGTTTATCATCTGAAATAACAATTTCATTCTTCTCCTGTCAAATCACTGAATGCTAGATATTTAAATAGGGAAATTTTGGATTGACCTCTAATTCTGGCGTAATATTTGTTTTAGACTGTTAGTATAACAGGGTTTGTTTTAGTTCTTATTTGGAATGAAAGTTTGCCGATTCTATTTATTAAGATAAATTGTGACAAAACATTTTCACCATTATCTCATTTATTTTCACGAAAGAAGGCAATCGCTCTAAACTCAGTGAGTACCAAAAGATTAGATTGCATCTGTATAGCATTTAAATGTCGCGTTTCCTTTCTTTAATAGGTGTTCTTGTGAGGACTGCTTAGTTATCCGGCAGGACGTTCCATAATGCAGTTATTTTGTAGGGCCCTGTTTTCTACAGCAATCAGCCGTTTTTAAGCGCGTTTTGATGCGCGATTCCCGGTGTAGCAGATCTTATTTACCTTAGATAACTTCTTCAAGTATCAAACGTCGATGTTTTAGAAACTGAAACAACTGGTTGAATTCCATTTGTGCCACAAAAACAAACGCCTTATTTGTAAACACGTAATAGCAATCGGATGTCCTTACCTTTTAAAGTGACGGTGAGTAGTGTAAGTGCGAACTGAAATGTCTTAGCTGTCGACATATTGTGTAGATATCGGTAAAAAAAGACTTTGGTTATTATCGCAGGACGAACTGTAATACGTTGTACGCACTTAAGATAACTTCCGTGTATCGTCTCACCAACGGTACCGCTTATATAGCTCAGATGATCCAACAGCTAATTAATATTTACATTTGGTGCGACTTCCCTTACTTTGGCAAGGCAGGGAGAGTCCCTTGCGTGAGAAAACAGCCGATATTTCACCCACGCAACCAGTGATGTCCCAGTCTTTCCGTCATATCATCAGAATGTATGCCCGTTGTTGATGTCGGAAAATATCAGCTGTTTTCTCAGTCTTTACAGTCGCCTTGAATATTTCTACCTTGGTTGATCACTAAAAAATGCGTTTATGCAACCGGGTAGCTCGTAAACTTATTAATACAGAAGGGTGTATTGACATTGGGAAATTCAGTCCGGGACTTTGAACGATTCTTACGGAAAAATCGATACCCCTGGGAATGTACCCCTGGGAACGTACCAACAGCAAAATGAAATGGAAAGTTCATTAAGGGCATTTACTGCAAATCAAAGAAAAATATGCTGACAAATCAGTCTTGGTCTACTGACAATATCAAGGAATTCAATTAGCGGCTAATTTTTTTCCGGCTACAGTACAAAGCTTTATTTTCAGTGTTTTACGAGTCACTGATTATTCACTCTTCGTCATTTTTTTTCCTTTTTGCGTGAGTAATTAACGTGTTACTTCATGCCTGGCATGAAAATTATGTGAAAAACTATTCAAGTGATGCACGACTTTGACTAAACTGATAACTTCTCCATTCAAAGAACCCAGACAATGCTAAATGTTTTGATAACATGTCAATATTATGCCTCAGGTTTATTCAGGATTGTTCTAAGTCTCTAAATCTCACCGGGCCAGCCGAACGCCTGAAACTACATTCTAGGGACAACTTTTGCACTGGGTCAAAAGAAAATGCCATAACATACCATAATACTCTTTGTCGGTCACTCCAAAATTTTACATAAGCATTGTTTTCAGTTTCTAGTGTAGGAGCTGCTCGGAAGGTCTGTCCTTATTGGTCGCAGGAAACAATGACATGTCATTCGTCCAATTGTTTTAGTGTTGTTTGGGGTCAGGGAAACGCATCATTGGTGACTTCTCTTCCTAGCCTGCGTGGCAGGCGTTTGAAAGGGAAGGGAAAAGGGGTTTTGGGCGCGACGGAACCTAAAACTCCCTTTCCCTTCCCTTTCAAACGCCTGCCACGCAGGCTATTCTCTTCCGAGCAGCTAGCAGCTGCTACATGATCATGACACCTCTCTTGGGGCCGTTTTAACTCCCCCAAGAGAAGCTGAAGCAATGTTAGAATGAATGTTATGGTATGTCAGTTATGGTATTTTCTGTAGTGGTCAATATTGTCATAAATCTTTGAAATGCCTTTAAAAGCCGGATCAGTATGTTCATTTACAAACAGACCGATTTAAGGTAAATAACTGCATACAT